TATGAGAATAGTTTTCTTAGTAAGGAGTACCCAGGGAGCTTGGCAGAGCCAGGTAAGGGCAACTCAGAAGGCTGGAAGAGTGAAGCTTCTTCCTGAGGAGAGTGGAAGTCTCAGTAGTTGGTGACATCATGACTAGAATGCCCCAAATCTAGAATGGGGTAAAAAGGGCAAGAGAGACTCAAACCATATCCCAAGATGCTAGAATTAGGGACCTCCTCAAAGTTGGAAAGAAGTAACTTTTATGAAGTCTTCTTTGCTCAGCTAGTGAAGTACTTAAAGGACTTAAAGGACTGTGTAGAGGTCACTTCTGTTACAGTTGGGGACATCTGCTGCTAACTCACCTACTACCACATCTTATTCTCCTTTCAGCTCCCAGCAGGCTAAGCTCCATGTTTGTGGCGCTCATAATTGGTGGTTACAATTGTTTGTCAGATGGAATTAACCACTTTTGTTGATGATACTGCTGATCATCGACCCACTTTCTGCAATAGTAAATTTTAGGAAAAACAGTACTGCCTTTTTTAGTATCAGACCTTTGCTTAGTGTGTACAAGGGTGCCCATCTGCCTTACAAGTGGAGTTAAGGCCTCTATCATGCAAAATGGGACTTTCTGGGTTTCTTTGTTCCATTCTCCTTTGGTAATTGAGCCTGGAAGACTCATGTAAAGTTTTCTTGCAGAGATTACAAGATTAACTTGAGCCTCGTGAACTCAGACCTGGAGTGAGGAAGAAGGAAGAAATGATGTGGGGGAAGTAAAGGAAAATGTCATGACTGTAAGCACAGGGATAAAGAGGGGATAAAGAAGAGAGAGAGAGAGAAAGGGATTAAATTGAAGAACTTGGATGTGTTTCTTCCATTAGATAAGTTGAGTGTGGCACTAAAGGGTTGGGGACAGTTTTTGGGTCTCTGTTTCTGGTTACCACACACTGATTATGTGCCAGACACTGAGTTCCCTTTACAGGTGCAGCCTGAGGCCAAGCTGAGTCTAAACTGGGATTCAGAGACTGGTTGGGTCTCCCCACTTGGTGGAACTGAAAGATCTAGGAGGATTTATTTAGAGTTGATGTGATAGGGACAAGAGGGCCTTTGAGAAACATGTTTAGTCATGATTCCCTGGGGATAGAGACAGACAAATAAGATAGCAAGGTGTCTTCTATCCAAACAAGCCTGGGAGGAGAAGATTAAAGCCTGCATATATGGAAAATAAACCCTATGGGCCATTTCTGCTCTGTCCTGTAAAGTCACTATGAGTAGGAATTGACCCAAGGGAGTAGGTTTGGGTTTTGGTTTGGCAGGCCAAAGCTGGAGGGATTGCTTTCTTTAGTGGTGAGGCACCATCAGAGTTACTTTTGAGCCTAGTTGTTTGTTACTCAGCATGGAGGAGAGTGTCTTATCCCTATTTCTTCTAAGTCAAGCTTATGTTCTGAAAGGACTATGGCCTATAAAATCTGTGTTAGATTGAAAGGCATAGTAGAAATGTCATGAAATCATGTGGTAAAAGACTGTAAGCCATTGAATTGTGTGTATTAATAGTGACTCATTTATACCATGGTGAGCCATGAGACATGTGCTTTATTCCCTGAGTCAAAATCAACTTGACAACTAGACATTATTATCCTGACTTTACAGATGTGGAAAGTGAGACACAAAGAGACTAAGTGACTTGCTCAAGTGACCACATAAATAAGTGATGGATCCATGGTTGAAACTCAGAGTTTTCTTAACTACATCTTTAATGCTGACTTTCAAACGTCCTAGTTAAGATTTCAATTGACACATCCATCTGTGTTATTGGGGAGGCTGAGTTAACTTCTTAAAGCAGAGGTTGTGGAGAACCACCACACCCTCACACTTTGCACTTTCAGGGAAGAATTTTAGGCTATCAGACCATGTCCTCCTTACCCAAGAGACAATTCTTGGATTTTCTGACCAGATAACAAAGAAGGACAAGCTAGGCAATATCTCTGAGAAAGAATCCCATCGTCCCAAGGAAGGAAGAGATCATGGAATGACAGCAATAATGTTAAGCTTTGGAGCTGCACAGAAACTTACAGTTTCCCTAGCATTTTATCTCATTTGAAAGTTCACAAAAAACTGTAAGAAAGAGCTTATATACCATTTTACAGATGGGGAATGAGGCCCAGAGAGCCTAATGTTGCTTAAGATTATATAGCTAATAGTGTAAGAATAGTGTAAGAAGCAGACTCGAAGTCTGGGCTCTTGACTCCAGTCCAGGATTCATTCCCTTTTACCAGGTGGTCCCTTTTGCCCTGATGGAATAATCATCTTTATCTAATGTAGACTGGTGTCATGACTGAGCCAGGCAGATGGCAAGACATAAGGGTGGTGCCTGAAGAGAGGCAAATATTCCAATGAAGGACATGATTCACGGTGTTAGACCAGCCATAGAGCTGCACTCACTTTATTTAGATCAGTTTATTTTATGGACATATAGGCCAGTTCTACCATAGAGTTTCCCAAAGAGTGATACATGGGAAACTAGTTTCACTAGATGCTCTCTATGATGATAACAAGAATTTTGTGATCACTGTACCCTTCTTCTTTCAAAGTGTCAACACATGTTAAAGGCTGTAAAATATCTTTAGTAAAGATGTCTATTTGACTTTACTTAACTCAAGGTCTCCAAATTTATTTGAACACAATCTTTTTTTTAAATGTATCCCTATTAATAGCCTGTGGAACTGCCAAGACCAACTAGTTTGCTTTAATCATTGAATTAATGGGTTGATTTGATATCATGTGGGCAGAGCCTTAGGGATGTTTTTATGGTTGATATTATCACCTTAAGACTCATGTATGCCAGCCTTCCTTCTGAGATATATACATCAGGTCTAAAAGGAAATATATTTATAAATAGGACTTGGTGGCAGTAATTTTATTATTTAAAGACTGAGGTTTAGATTGGGCCAATGTACACATGCTTATGTTTATAAATTAAAAATGGAAGTCTATTATATTTATAAGCCTTTTTAATATTAGGAATTTTCATCAGTAATTTATGATAGAATAAATGTCAAGGAAAGCTTTCAGTATGTCTGCTGTTTCAGGATAGCATACCCAGTTTGAGAGAATTTATTCATTAGAGATCTTTGCAAGAAGCAAGGCTGACATTTTAGGTCAGTCATTTATCATCTTCCTACCTGTGGATTGCAGCAGACACTTGACATTCATGACGAATATTTCCTGAGATCTTTATGACTCCCCTAATTAGCAAACACCACTAGAGCAAATAATTTCCCTCATAAAACCTTTTTGTTCTGGCCCAACCCATCATGTTCATGGAGTGCTGGAGTGCTCCACTTTTTCTTCTCATTCATTACCAGGGCTGTTTGGACTTGGTAATTAACAGTGAGAGGGAACATGTCACTGTGGAGTGGCAGACTTCTGGACTAGCTGAGTGACTTTACCCTTAATGACAGTTTTGCTAGGAGATTTGAATTTATGCTTCAGAAAAGTGGCGAATGGACTGGAATTGCTCAATGAATAGCCAAAACTGTGAATGTAGTATCTACAAATGCTAACTAAACATCTGCTCTTCAGGTTTTCAAAGATATCTTCACCTTTCACTCCATGCTGGGAGGTTGGAGGATACTCTGAATTAGGGAAGAAAGGAGGGAAATGCTTGTGGTTCTTGGAACTCAAGCTCAACTTTACCATTGTCAAATGGTCTCTACAGAAAGCTTCATTGGAACCCCAAGGTCATGGAATCTTGGTAACTTCAGGAAGTGATTTCTGTGCTTTGGGAAAAGCCTCAGTGGCTCTTGGGTTAGCCTGGAAAATGAGTTTCCTAGAGTTAAGAAAACATGTTTGTACTTGAAATTACATCGTAGCTCCCCACCCCAACAACTCCATGCTTTCTATTTCTAATATTAATCTCTGAGTTCACTATTTCTGTGATTCATCAGTTTTATCCCTGGGACTCAGAGTCTTAGAAAAAGCTATTTTTATTATAATTTGTCATTATTATTAAAATTAAAAGGGTAGAAATATTTTATCAAACTTGATATCTCTCTCTGGATGAATTCTGCAGATATATATGGTTCACTGATGATTGGTTTACTCCACCCAAAGTAAGATAATCAGGGGAGACAGGAAATGCCCAGAGGCTAATTTGGGAGTATTAAAAATATCATTCCATTATGGTCATCTGCAATAGTTGGGGGAGAAAACAGAAAAAACAACCGTTAATGATTTATCAGCCATTTTGCTATATGGAAAGTACACTGACATTTAAAAACGTGGATCTTTGGAGCTCTCCAGTTTTTAGCATGATAAATGATGTCGTCTAACATAAGAATAGTTTCTAAAGACTCCAGAGTAGCTCCAAAGTGCAATCATGATTGAATTTTCTCCTTAGGACTTCAACTTGACCAGCCACTGGGTGACTGAGGACTACTCAGTGCCAATGGCCATTAAAGACACCTTGATATTAATGGGAGGAAGTAGAATGAGCTTACTCTTGAGAAAATCTATTCAAGCTTTCTGCCACAGACGTTTATACACCTTTGGCATGAAATTTCTCTGAGCTTCCCAGGACCATGGATCCTACAAAGCCTATACACTAACACCTTTTCTACTCAACAAGTAGTTCACAGACACACAAAAAAAGCTCAATAAATGCTGTTGAAAGACCTGAGTAGTTATGTGTTTCATGAAAATGTGGGAATTGCTTTGATGGGGGCACTCTGTGACACTGCCCTTGACAGACTAGAAAGTCTCCTGTTCTGGCTCATGGCCTATTCATGAATAACTAACATTGTTCTTCTATCTCTCTCTCCTTCTGAACTGGGGATGCAAGTGGGAGGGGGTGGAGAGAGGGGCTCTGACTAGTCCTGCAAAGCTGGCAGTTTTCTGCCTAGAGAGAAATAGGGTAATTGGTGTCATCACTGTCACCTTGTGGGGACATAAAATATGAATGAACACAAAACGAGGCCAGCAGCTTTGTGCACAGGAAGGCCTGGAGAGGTGGGGAGGCTTACCTTCTTGACTTCGTATTTAATGGCGAGTTTGATCCGGCTCAGACTTGGACGGTGGTGGTCGGACCAGACTTGGAAGTTCACATCACCGTTTAAAATCGCTTCTACCTCTTCTGTGTCTCGGCACAGGTCCAGCACGCCCACCACAAAATCCTTGCATTGCATAGATAACTTCCTGTAATCGTTCTAATAGAATAAAGAGAAATCAGGGCTGTGTCACACCGGGTCCCATAGATTGGCTTGTCCAGCACAGCAGTGTCAATAAACAACTATCTACCAAGTGTGAGCTTACTGAGTGCGTCAGAACCAATGGGATGTGCTGGATTCAGAAGGCAAGACACTGTCTCTTCATACAATAATCTAGAGGACCATCTTCTCTAGGCCAGTATTTATCAAGGTGTGCCCATGGGCTACTTGCATCAGAGTTACCTTGGGTGTGTCATAAACTTGCAGGTTCCCAAGCCCTACACCAAGCTTACTGAATCAGAGTTTCTGGGAGTGAGGCCCGGGAATCTGATTTTTACCTTTGCTCTCAAGGTGATTCTGATGCATGCCAAATCCTCTCCTTGGCTCTCTCAAAGCAGCCATTCTCTGTGCCCAATTCTGAACCATGGGATAGAGGAGTAATAAGGACATGAACTGCTAAGACTGATGAGAACAACACATCCTTTGTTTACCACCAACCTATAATGTTGACTGCTCCACATAGGAAGTTTACTGGAAAGATATGCCTGATATGCTAAATTGAGGGCAAGAATGTACACAGTTGTGCTTTCCTTTTATGTTCTGAAAATCTACTTATAAATTAGAAATTTTAAAATCGAATGTAATTTGAATCTAACAAGATTTTTGCTTACCACAGATCCTTTTGTACAGTAAATGGTTAATTTATCTGTCTATTGAGTAAACGTTTTTAGACCTTGACCTTTTTATTTATTTTTTACATGAGTTGTCCCTGGACTTCCCTCTTCTCCTCCCTAAACATACCTTTCTGAATTATCCTTAACAGGATGACTTCCTTCCCTAGTAACATTACATCTCTCTCCTCCAAACACACTGCTTAATTACAGATAATGAACCAAAATGTTGGACAAAAGAATGTTTCTTGTCACCCTCTTAATAACACTACTCTCCAAAATATTTTCCTATAAGGTTTTCTTGCTGATTTCTTAGTTGTAATAAGTCTATCAGAAATTAAACAAAAACCAAATGTCACTTTCAGTTAATCAGTGTCAATAACCCTCAGACTGTAGTTGGCAAAAAAGAGTACAGTTTTGCTAGATTCCTTCACAAATAGGTAGGAGCCCAATGAACTGCAGAAGCTCAGCCTTTTTTCTTTTCTTTTTCTATTAAAAATTTTTTTTTATTATGATTTGGTTGAAAGTTTACAAAGCAAATTCACTTTCCATACAGCAGCTCACATACACTAGATCTCATGACATTGACTGAAATTTCCCACAATGTTAACAGCTCCCTCCCACGTCCTCCCTGTAGTTACCTCTTCTCTGTGTCCTTCCCTCTATGCACTTCTGCCCCATGAGCTGTTTCCCTGTGCATACATGGCCCTTCTATTCTCCCATGATTGTTCTTTCCAAGGAGTGTATCTACCTGATGTAAATAAATGTTCAGCTCATACCTGTCTTTCGTCTGGCTCGAAGCCACAGAACTGGATTCAATTTCAGAGCTGAAGGGCAACTAGGGGCCATAGTCTCAGTGGTTCCATCAGGCTCTATCAGACCAGCAAGCCTGGTCCTTTTTTTAAAAAATGATTTTGAGTTTTGTTCCACATTGTTTTCCCACTCTATCCAGGATCTCCGACATAGGTCCCCCTCTAAGTGGTTGACTGTGGTAGCTGGGCATCATCTAGTTCTTCTGGTCTCAGTCATACAGGCTGAGGATCGCATGGTGTGCCAGTCACTTGGACCAGTTGTTTCCATATGTCTTTGTTTTTCTTCATTTTTCTTTGCTCTGGGTAATGAGAGAACCATAGTTGCATCTAGATGGCCACTTGCAAGCTTTTAAGATTCCAGTTGCTACTTGCCAAAGTCAGATGTGGAGCAATGTTTTTGTGTATGTCATGCCAATTGAGCTTGACATCCCCTACAACTATGGTCCCGAGACCACAGGTCCAACTACTTGCTCTCTCTGGGTAGCTGGCTGTGGCCAAGAAGTGACCACAACCTTGTCCCTTGTCAGCTGTACTATGTTCCTGGGAATTCTAGCAGAATATACCAATACACTTGAAGAAACATAGTCTGACAACCCTATATATCATCTTGGGCACACACTTCCCTGCATGGACATATCTAATAGTTTAGGCTTCCCACCCATCTATCTACCCATATATCAATGTTTGCCTTCATTGACAACACAGTACTGTATGTGCAGAAGGGTTCATTTTTGCTGTCTGTACCTTCCACACACCTCTCTCTGTCTTCCTCTTCCTCAGTGCCACCGTGTTAATTACTCACATTTGGCATATTGTTCTTCTCTTCGCCCAAATCAATATTTGTCTCTACCTGTCTAATAGTGTTTCATCCCCTCCCCTGCCCTCCCACCCCTGGTAACCAACAACAAAAAAAATTCTTTCCATATATAAACATTTCCTTGACTTTTTACAATAACAGACTAATGCAATATTTGTCCTTCTGTGATTGACTTATTTCACTCAGCATAATGTCCTCCAAGTTCATCCAAATTATGTGGTGTTTTGCAGAGTCTACATGATTCTTTAAGGTTGTATAGTATTCCATTGTATGTATGTAGCATAGTTTGGTTATCCATTCTTCTGTTGATGGGCACCTAGGTTGTTTCCATCTTTTGGCTATTGTAAATAGTGCTGCAATGAACATGGCTGTGCATGTATCTGTTCTTCTCTAGGCTTTCACTTTAGAATATATACCTAATAATGGAATGGCTGGGTCAAATGGTATTTCTAATTCCAACATTTTAAGGAATCACCATACTACTTTACACAGTGATTCTATCAAAGACCTGGAGTTTTGAGAACCAAAAGAGAAGAACATGCTTGGCATTTCTCAAGCTGAAAGAATTGAAAAAATTTAAGCCTCAAGTTGCAATATTGAGAGATTCTATGGGCAAAATATTGAATGATGCAGGAAACATCAAGAGAAGATGGCAGGAATACACAGAGTCACT